TCAATGTAGTGACACTCCGACTACCTCTGGATCACAATCCTTCCACAACACCTATATGATACATTTTCCTGTACTGTAATGTGGTCAAGCACTTTCCAATGCAGTCTGATTACCTAAAGCACATTATAATGCCATGTGTAAAGATGGCATCTATAACCTGAAACATATCTTTGTCATTTCTTGTTTATGATCTGTGTCTGATAATACGAGCATGGCAATTCATCAATCAGAACCTAGTTATATAAAAAAAAGAAGAATGATTTTAGTGGTAAAAAAATAAAAAGAAGGTGCATACATCGTCATCGTTACATAATTGGTTTTTATACATTCCATCAATAATTGTCAAACAGAGTAAAGAAAAAAAGGCCCCGCTAACCCTGAGGTATACATTTTAAAAGGCAAGCTGCTGAAGAGAACATATGATGGAAGTCAAATACGACAGGCACCACAACTTCTCCAGCAGTTTGAAACAGTATGTGCTTATTGTGCGTGCTCCTTTGTAAGGTTCTTTTGACACTCCGTCTACAGGCAGCATCAGTCTGGTTGCCCGGTAACAGCTTCATACTGTGGCCGCTGTCTGTAGAGACAGTAGTGCTGAGTCATGAAGAGGATGTCGAACACCACGGAGAAAACACCCAGACCGAACTTGGTGGGATTGCCAAATATAAGCACCCACTCGTCTGAGGAGAGAAACACAGCTGTCAGTCACATGATCACTATGCTGGACATTATTACCAGCAGACCACTTCCATTTTTCACCTTATTCTCAAATTGTATAAAATATATGAACTGATGTTTAAGGGAGTTTCTACATCATTTCACAGCTACCGTAGGGAGTGTCTCTGAGGCCACAATGATTGAAAACCAGGCTTTATACTGACAAATAATGTGTTTGCATATTTTTTCTTGGGATGACAGATTTCCTTTACCCTTAAGGAAAGGTTACACTTTTGCCTATTTAAAAAACAATTGTTAGGAATAAGCTTAACAATTATGAACAAGACAAATGTAATTAAAATCAGTTCCAGCGTCAACATTTTAGTTTCCAGTCAATGCTCTGAAATAATCCAATTATCCCCTTTTTTGACATAGGTAGGCCCTGAATACATCTACACGAACATTCAGTCTTTAGACATATTATACTAACTTCATTTGGTCCAATGGAGCTCCGCAGTTTATTTAGTTTAAGAGTTTAAACCACAGAAACTTAAATGAACATTGTGTCAAATACACATTTTAATTAAAGTTAACTATTTACTTTAGTCAGGGCATTAATATAGTGGAAAACAAATATTAGCTACATACCTGTTCCTGAGGTCAGACCTAAGTCTCCTGTGTGTGTTGTAATGCTAGCGTCTCTGTGCTTTGTGTTATGTAGCTGTGCAGGCCTGAAGTGCATGTTAGTCCTGTCTCCTGTGTTAGGCTAGCATTCAAACATCATGGACATGTAGCTGCCAGTAAATGTTGTTAGCAATGTTAGCTGCCAATATTTACCGTTGTTGTAAGACTGAAGGATCATCTGCAGAATACTGAGGACTCCCCCTGTGAAGTCCAGCAGCACGTTGCCAATGCTCCACCCGTCGGTGCTCTGCGTTCTGTAGTTCATGTACGCCTGGAGGAACAACAGCAACACTCATCAAACAAGGCTCGACCATCTACTTATCATCTACTTATAATGTTAAACTGACTACTTATAATGTTAAACTGACTACTTATAATGTTAAACTGAATTTTGTGGACTAGCATTGTAATCAATACCATCATAAAGTGATATATGTTGGTTTTGGCAAACTTGACATTGAACACGTGCATTGCATCCTTTTTAATCAGCAAATTCTCTATACACAGGAACATGCCCTGGAACCAAGGCCAACACATGTTGACAGTACATTGTTAATAGCATCATCGATTCATTCAGAAATCCTTTAAAGAATAACAGACATTGTAAAGGTAATTATTTGTATTTATATATATACTGAACAAAAATATAAACGCAACACTTTTGTTTTTGCTCCCATTTTTCATGAGATGAACTCAAAGATCTAAAAATGTTTCTATATACACAAAATAAACATTTCTCTCAAATATTGTTCAAAAATCTGAAAAAATCTGTGATAGTGAGCACTTCTCCTTTGCCGAGATAATCCATCCCACCTCACAGGTGTGGCATATCAAGATGCTGATTAGACAGCATGATTATTGCACAGGTGTGCCTTAGGCTGGCCACAATAAAAGGCCACTCTGAAATGTGCAGTTTTGCTTTATTGGGGGGGTCTGGGGGGGTCCGAAATCCAGTCCGTATCTGGTGTGAGGGGTAGAATTAGGGTTAGGGGTAGGGTTAGGGTTAGGGTTAGGGTAATGTTGTGAATTGAGTGGCCCATGGTGGTGGTGGGGTTATGGTATGGGCAGGCGTATGTTATGGATGACGAACACAGGCCACTCAATTCACAACATTACCCTAACCCTACCCCTAACCCTAATTCTACCCCTCACACCAGATACTGACTGGTTTTCGGACCCCCCCAGACCCCCCCAATAAAGCAAAACTGCACGTTTCAGAGTGGCCTTTTATTGTGGCCAGCCTAAGGCACACCTGTGCAATAATCATGCTGTCTAATCAGCATCTTGATATGCCACACCTGTGAGGTGGGATGGATTATCTCGGCAAAGGAGAAGTGCTCACTATCACAGATCTTTTCAGATTTGTGAACAATATTTGAGATAAATAGTTATTTTGTGTATATAGAAACATTTTTAGATCTTTGAGTTCATCTCATGAAAAATGGGAGCAAAAACAAAAGTGTTGCGTTTATATTTTGTTCAGTGTATATTACTTACTATGCATTTTATGAGACTACATTACTGGTTTCACCATGTTACTGTTGGAACCCAAGTTGTGTAAATGAAATGATCATAGTTAATATAATAATTGATATTCAAGTGGCTAGCAACAAGTAATTCATTTACAATAATTATTACCCTTTTGATAGCCATTTTTATATATAAAATGCAACATGTTCATGTAGTGCAGATTATCATTAATCCCATGTTATGATTTGATTAATATAAATAATTGTAATAATAATAATAATGGATCCTCTATTGATATATATATATATATATATATATATATATATATATTTTCTAGTTGTGATGTTACTGATTATGTTATTGTTTTTACTTTGTATAATTATATTTTTAACTAATGCATGTTAACATGCTGCTGGGACAATTTGTTCTTCAATTTGGGATGAATAAAGTGTATCTAATCTAATCTTAATTCATATTTCTTAATAACTAGACTTTGTGTATCTCTCACCTGTGGCACATATTTGATCAGAGTGACTGCCAGTTTGATGTAGGAGAAATAGTAGAGGTAATCCAGCCAGGTGATCTGTTTGGCTACGGCAACAAACAGGCTGACCAAGGCAAACGTCCAGCCAACCACCAGCAGGAAGCAGGCTGTGCGCGAGACCTTCTGACCCCCCCCTCTGTGAGGAAACACACAGAGAGCCACTCCATGATCCACACATCAACACACATCTCACTATAAACGTACGCTTCTCTACAATGTCAACACACCTCATACACAGCGGCCTGGCCGATGTAGACCACACAGAACACGACAGCATGCAGACTGAAGAAGACATCGTTGGCGCTCACAGGGTTAATTCCATCGGGGTTGCTCTTCAGGAACTCCTCCTGCAGGGGGGACACAGCAGAGGCCGTCAGTCAGACACTTCATGTCAAAAATGAATACATAAAAAGGATACTGTCATTTCTTCCTAAAGCCACTGAGACGCCTTTTAAACAGACATCTCTAATGTATTACTTTGACTTAGTTGCTAGTTCACTTCTCTGGCTTCTGATGATGGCTTGATGAAATGCGGCACATGGTTAACCAAAAGAAATACAAAATATACATTTCCACCCACATTCAACAGGGAAATGGGCCTTGTTAGTCAGTATTTTTGTTTTATATTAAAAAAATAAAAAAGGCCATCTAATTGTGATCTGTAGTCAAGACGGCACAAAGGACTACAATTCCCACGCCGCTAGCCCCTAGAGCCAGAGTTGGGCAACCTGCGTGCAGACGCCATCGAGGGACCGTTTTTAACCATTTAAGTTATACAAGCCTTTACAAATAAAGGAAAAGAGAAAATCCACGTAAGTTGTTTATTATTTGATTTGAGTTTTGCCTCTTGTTTGATTTGACTGTAAAGGCCGGTTTTCTTTGTTGAATGTGTGAAAAGTTGGTCATTTTATTTGGAGTAAACACATAGCACAATATCAACATACCACCGGAGGCCAAGCAAGTCATCCAAATGTGAGTAAAACAAATGTGATGAAGGAAACGCGTTAGAACTGTCTGTCTAAGGAGTTTAAGTGGTTTGATAGAACACAAAGGAAGGAAGCCGCGACAGGCCTTTACAATAGCCATCACATTAAAAAAAAAAAAGAAAGAAGCAATCCCAAATGATAAACAAACTTAGATGGCCTTTCCATCTGTTATTGTATACGTCAAATAATTTGATGGTTAAAAAGTGTGACTCCACGGCATCTTCCACACAGGTTACTGTTAGAAATTAAAATCAATGTTTTTAATGGCATAAAGTACCTTAAACATACCGTCAGTTTAAGGTTTAAATCAAGCGGCAAACTCTGGGGAACAGCCGGGAAGCCAATACGGAAGTGCCACACACTGCAGTTCATACATGGGCCGCTAGGGACTGGCTGCAGAAAGGAGCAATTTCCATAGACCCCCATGTTAAAATGCCCAACTTTACAGCAGAAAAAAACATGTTTCTACCCATGGATGCAATAAATATTATTATCGATATAGTTAGATTCCACCTTCATGATTATGAATCTGTGAGTGAATTGTTTTCTAACACGACCCTTTTATTTATATTAGGTCTTAACGTTTTTGCATAAATTAGGGCATGGTCACGTTGATGGACAGTACATGCCTCACTGTCAGCTAACAGCAACTTGTCCACTCTGCTAGGCTACAACGTTAGTTAGTCATAGTACTGTACTTGACCCTTTAGCTTTAGCAGTGTTCGTGGTGATTGTGCCTTTTAGGGAATATTGTTACAAATACCAGACAATTAAAATGTCTTGCTGTGCGCTTGAATGTACTAACAGAACTTCCAAGAAGTCTAAAATGATAATATTATACATGTTAACCCCGTTCGCAGGTGTTTGTGTGCTTGGTAGCTTAGCTTGTTACTTATTAGCCAGCTAAGGACGAGACGTAACCCTTTATGCATACATATACATTTTAGTTTATGATTCAGCCTTGGGTAAGACTTTTATAGTCTATGGCTATGACGCCCATAATGCTAAACAGGAGCAAATGTTAATAGGGGACCCAATTATCCCAGTGGTGGCCGCCGGAGCTAACGGAGCCGCAGGGGGCTAGCTCCAGCCGGCGTCCCGGAGCTAGCCCACTGCGGCTCCGTTAGGTCCGGGCGGTGGAGTCCGTCTTTTCTCAACGTGTGAATGACAAGCATTAAGAATAACAAAATATAGCTAATTATTTTGCAGATTGTCTCATTTGATTATGAATGTAACGTTTATATAGGGGAACTACACTGTTAGCAGTAACTTGGTATGCATGTATTTCATGTTAGCTTAGCTTCTTAGCCTGAGCTAGCTCTGTTTTACTTCCAGTTCGGAGGCAGCAGGTCCCGCCTCGGCTCCGCCTCTTTGCCCTTATTTGGAGCAGGCGGGATTAGACTCTGACGTCACAGTCGAGCCGTTAGTGGCCGACTCCGCCTACTAAGGGCTTCACGGCAACTCTGCAGAATTCTATGGGTGATGTCACGAACACTACGTCCATTTATATATACAGTCTATGGTTTAAATGCTGTTTTATACTGAAAAACCAGAAGTTCTTGTGCACAACCAGTTGTTAAGCTTTTATTCTGAAAATCCTTCATCTCCGGTTAGCATTTAGCATGTGGCTAATATACCATTTACTATAGAGGTGAATTTAGTAGCGATATGACACGGAGTGTTGCACACCGAAACCTACTGATTTCAACACTACAACTATAGACGTCGAGATATTATTATTGCTGAATATTAAATGAAGGTACAGTTTATTTGAATACGTTATTGTTTACAGATGTGGGTAGCATGTGACAACATCCGGAACGACCGGGAACCAAACTGCCGTGAAGTATTTCCTGTATTTTTTGGAGTATTGATTACAGCGTTTAGAATGTGTTAAATGAAAAGTCATGAAAGAGTTAAGGAGGAGAAAAGGCGTGTTTAGTTATTTAATGTACAATGTCTGAATCCTCTGTTATGCGCAACAACGAACATTGGAGACGTGGAGGACCGGCTCCCAGCAGCGCCAACCGGCATACGGGGAGGAGCCAGCAGAGGATATTTAACAGCTGAAAAAGGGGTCCTCGCCCTCTTTCCTTCACTCACGAGAGCCAGAACACAGCTGTTTTTCTGACTGAACAATCTTCTGTTTGTAACATTACCGCGCCATATTTTTAATTAAAGTAACCATTTGAACCTTCTCAGAGACTCCATTTAGTCTCCTTTTAAAGCTTCTCTCCTGGACGCGAGAATAACGAACACATTACATTACCCATATCTTAATCTCTTAGAAGGCTGGGAAGTGTAGCCTTTTAGAATCCCTGCACTACAGAGGCTGCCACTTGGGGACAATGTTATTTGACCTTTCACAAGACAAATACAATAATAAAATTGCTTGAACAAATCAAAACGCTGCACAGTTAACATTTTAAATGAAAATAAATACGAAAGTTGATGTTGTTATTTCCGGTAATGATCAGACAGCATTGAAAAGGTCAAAAAGGACAGTACAGGGGCTATATATATATATATATATATATATCAGTGACGTGCGGTGAGGTTCATGGCTGGTGAGGCACTGACTCTTTCTTTTAAATTTGACCTTAATCGAAATATTCGGTTATTTTCAAAAGCTTTTTTAGTCTGATGCTTCAATTCATTTTAAACAGACCGTTCAACAAAAGGATACCCAAAGTCTAAATATTGGATTATTCTTTCTTAGTAAGATCCAGAGATGTTCACAAGTCTTTTTTTGCAAGTCCAAGTCAAGTCTCAAGTCTTTGGTCACGAGTCCAAGTCAAGTCTCAAGTCTTTGTGGGGTGAGACTTGATCAAGTCTCAAGTCTTTGGTCACGAGTCCAAGTCAAGTCTCAAGTCTCTAAAAAATAAAAGTCTCATATCTCTTCTGGTTGTAATAAGCCTTCTATTGTCTGCTGCTATCCAGTCTGTTAAGAATACTGCATAGCTATATCTAAGACATTCAAAGCATTTATTGTATTATTATCACTCCTATATCTATTAGCATACAGTATCAGTACTGATTAGTTGTTTGTTATATGATCACTTTAAACAGGCTATTGTAATGCAATATGAGGAAAAACATCACACTTTAGCTAAATGCAAACAACTTATAAGCAAAACACTTCAGAATCACAAATACTTTATTAATCCCCCGCAGGGAAACTGTGTTAAAAGTACTTCAAAGTAAACATTTGTTCTGTGCCATTTTCAACTAAAAAACTATTGCTGCAATATTATCTGAAATATACTGAACTGGTGATATTAAAACATGACCTGTTCCAAAAGAGAAATCTACCATTAACACCATTTACCAGCCAAATGCTGGTAAATCATGCAAGTGGCTGGTACTGTATGTTGCACGCACCAGCCAAAAATAACAATGGCAATCTATTGAGTGGCTGGTAACATTTCAACATTCACTAGGCTAGCCATTTGGCCAGTTTGACCTCTGCAACCGTATTGTTTAATTACACTGGGTCTCTAATGACATCTTTTAAGTCTACTATAAATAAACATATTCCTCTATCCTCTCACTCAAACCCAGTGTAATGGTAACCTGATAAACCTGTAACATTAACGTTACGTGGTCAACAATAAACCTGTAACCTGCCTATAAACCGACAGATGTATTTATGTATGTAACTATGTATTTTTCTACGTTTAACGTTAGCCAGTAGATGGTGGCAGCGGAACGTAATGATTAACGTTACCGACCTTTTTTATGTCATGTCAAGAGTTGGATGTCAACGCCACTCAACGCAAACAAGTGTGACAAGCAAACATTCACTCATCTTTTCAAATATTCAGTTACAAAGCTAGTAGCAAGCTAAGTTAACATTACATAGCTGATGCTGAGCTAAACATGTTTGCTATAACCGTCCATATGCGTTAATGTGACTGACCTCTCCGGGTGAGTTTTCAAGTGCCTGATGAAATGTGACGTTGTTGCACCAGCATCCTTGATTTTAATATTGCAGACTTTGCAGTGTGCGCTCCTTTTGTTGGTGCCGCCGGCGTTTTGTTCGAAGTTTTTATAGTTGAACCTAATTACAAGCGGTACAGCTGCAGGTGTGCCGCCGGTCGCCATGGTGTTACCATGATGTTAATGTTAATGTTAATGTTAAAGGTGGGGTAGGTACGTTTGAGAAACCGGCTCGAGATACACTTTTTGTTATATTCCATGGAATGCTCTTAACATCCCGATAGCCGGCCCGGCTAAAGTAACTGGATAGCCTACCTGCCTGTCAGCCTTCCATCGGGGCACAAACTTATCTCGTGCCCTCATTGGTCATGTGCGCGTTCGTGTGTGTTGGAGGAGGGGCTCTGTGAGGAAGTGGCAGATTTTCTCCGGTTGTGTATTTTCAAATTCTAGCGATCTCGAGCCGGTTTCTCAAATGTACCTACCCCACCTTTAATACGCCAAAAATAGAAAACACAATGATTGTTCACGAGTCCCAAAACACGAGTCCAAGTCGAGTCCGAAGTCTTTTGAGCAGGAGTCCAAGTCAAGTCTGAAGTCTCTGTGTGTGCGACTTAAGTCCGACTCGAGTCAGAGTCACAGACTCGAGTCCCCATCTCTGGTAAGATCCCATGTTCGTTACAATTGTGGTCTTACCGTGACTTGAAGATGAAGTCCATGCTATCCTTCTGGACAACAATCTCTAATACTTTTTTGTAAAAGTCCTCCTTATCTTCCTCTAGTTTCAAAAGTCTAGTTTGTTGTTTGCTACCGTCTCTGCGTAGAATAACAGTAGCAACAAGAACCTGTGGGCTCACGTGCGCCCCCTTCAGTGCGGCAGAGGTTATGGCTGCCTCTCCAGGTGCTTTTTTCATTGCCGTTGTACGGCGAGCCTAAATATCATATATACGTGAAATAAGTTATTTAGAGACTATGGATGGCGAGGATAAATGTAATAGAGGGATCTACAAACATTACATTGGTGACATACAGTGAGATGGTGCAGGCATGCGCTTAGGGCCCGCTTTCCAGACAGTTTCTGTGGGGTGACGCATTCTGAGGTGAGGCAGAGCTCATCTGTGCCTCACCTCACCACACAGTAACTGGCTTGAGCGCGCTCACAAAATAAGTGCCCGCGCTACATTAGTGCCCGCGCTCCAGCCAGTTACTGTGGGCTTACGAGAGGCAGAGCTCGTCCCTGCCTCACTTCTCATCGCTACCCGTAGTTGTAGCGGAGCTCGGAAAATTTGCTGATTTTGACTATAAAAAGCGATTGGAATCATACAGAAATCACATTTACAACACAGATCAGTGGAGACATTTTATTATTATTACTATTTAGTTTTTCTTTAGTTGTTTTTCCGTTACATTGGAGTATGACAGGTGAGGCTCTGCCTCCACGTCGCTGATATATATATATATATATATATATAGTGCACGTCAATCCCTGCAACAAATCAAACTTCATATCCTCATGTCAGTCTCCTGTGAAATCTGTGGGCACTGTTAACTGTCCCCATGTCTGTTGAACAGGGACAGCTCCGTTCTTAACATGCTTCATTGCATACACAGTGATGGAGTTACCTTTATATAAGGCACCCAGAACAGTCCTATGTTGAAGACAGAGTAGGCGATGAAGCCGGTCAGGTTGAGAGCCAGGAAGTCAAAGTTGAGACCTACAACACTGAAGACACATGTGGGGATCAGTTCAACATTGTTATGTAAACATTTACATGGGTAATAACTTACATTTTCAGTAAACAAACATTTGATATGGTGTCTTGCTCTGTGTACATTTGACTGTGTAACATGGATACCCTTTTCACATGTTCTACTTTCTTTGGTTACTGTAAGAGAATATTTTAATCCGATCTGTTTATAGAGTTTCTTAGATTCTGTGATACTGAAAACATGTGTTTATGGTATCAGTCAAAAACTCCTCTGTAAGTTGAGGTCACAGGTCAAACGCTTCTCCCATATCCTGTGGGGGAAGGTTTCAGGCTTGTCTGCGTTTCCTTGAGACAAGTAGTTCATTGTCTCCCATCGGCTATTGATTAGGTAAACGCGGGCTTTCTGTGGGCCGGCCTCTCCTCGTGTAGCAGCGATGTTTTGTGGCTTTGGTTCAGAGATTATCTTGGTGGAGCACAGGACAGTGTGAAACTAAGATGATCTCCCGGCCGTATGTAATTAATGTACTGTGATCAATAAAACTCTCAGTGCTTTGGCTAACGACGGTTCCAGACTCCTTCATTCTACCTCAACATTGCAACAACAGAAGTTTACCTTCACAATTTGGCGTCTACGAACAGGATACCGAGATTTCTTCAGAAGACTGGTAAGTGCTTTTTTTCAAATCTATTTGAACAACTACCTTACCAGACTCTGTGATTGACGGTATCAAAATTATCTGTGAAACTGCGCGAGTGCAATTTGTTTTGGTCTCTCCACTCTACATTTGAAGGCTTAATCATAACCTGAGAAATCGGTGTCGAGGGGATTCTATCCTGGCCGGTTTTTCCTGTGATTGCTGCTGGGGCAAGTGCCATCAAAAGCAAGCACAGCTCATGTATAAAACAATAAGAATATTTGGGGCTAATAAATAACCTCGGAACATCAACTTTTAACGATTTCCGCTGTGTGTGGTTTCTAGAATTAAATTACTGGACAATCACACACTGCAAATATTCGGAGAGACCTTAAGGAAAGCATCAGCAAGGTGGAACCTCTGTTTCAAAAAGCAATGTGAGGATTTGTAATTGAAACAAATTGCCGAATTCTGGAGATTTCAACGGGTTTAAATCAGACCAATCCGTTTTCGGGTGTCTGCTCAGGCCTGCAGGAGGGAGGGCGAATTCCCCTCCCCCCTGTGGTGAACGGCACACGAGGAATGTTTAAGAACACAGACTTGTATTTTCTGTTAATCACACCATAAGCTCAAGAACTAAATTTAGCTATTAAATGGGAAGGGTGGTGGCAGAATATTACATTCACACTGTGTTTAATAAACTAACGGATTATTGAATTGGATGTTGTTTAAAAAAAAAAAATAAGTACTGAATTAATTAAAAATCTCTGCTCTCGGTCGGTTGAGCAGTTTTACCACTACATTTGCATAGTGGTTTTGATTGAGAATAAGGTAGTTTATTGCTCATCAATAGATTGAATATGGCTGAGAAGAGCCCATATTAAACAGATATGTCAGTGCTCCCGTTGACGTTTCCGTAATTTCGGACTAAATTAAACTGGATGATTTTTTTTTGGCCAGGGCGCTGATTTTGTTGCGAGTACATGTTTGTTTGTCTAATTGCAGTGTTTGTTTTATTGTACTAACCGTTAAACATGGGTAATACTGCCTCCACAAACGATTCAGTTGGTAAGAGGAAAGCGATTTCACACACAAAGACACTTAAAAAACACCCAATTGCAGAAAACCAGTACACGCATTTGTTTTCTCCAAACATGCCGTCTGGAATTGTCGGAAGAACTTTGGATTGGTCTAAAGTTATGCCGTTTACATCGTTACTTTGCGAACACTCACAACAGATTAATCAGAAAGGATTGATTCAATTTGATTGGCCTCTGACAGGTAGTTTTGATATGGCCGTGTTGTGGCAAGCATTTAAACTGGTGGAAGATAATTCAAATTGTTCAAGGGATCAGAAATACATGACAGAATGTGTGAAAGCCTGGATGACAATGGCAGAAAAAAGAGGTTATGAGGAGCGGAAGAATGCAAAATCTGTTGGCAGCGAGCGAGGCTCCATTGAGCTCAAGGCGCTGATTGATAAAGTTTCTCAATGTGCAAAAAAGTTGTCATTTGCTTAGCAGCACATTGAGAAACTTTATCAATCAGCGCCTTGAGCTCAACATGTCTAGAATCAGGGAAAGACACGGTGAAAATGCTCCAGACATTGCAAAATCAGTCATGTTTGATTGGCTTAAACGAAAAGGCAAAACTCCAACCCCATCTCAGCTCATTTGTATTTTGACAGATGCAGGGCTGTTGGACGGAAAGCAGGCTGTATCTCTCTGTACGAAAATAATTCCCGCGACAGAACTCTCAAATCCCGTTGCGAGAAACTCCGATGATGATCTGTTAATGACAGCTGCAGCTATCATGAATAAAAATGGTTTGAGATATCACACAGAACAATATAGAGAATTAGAATCGGCACACGCCGAGCAGAGGGCAGCAGCGGGGGAGGGGAATGTTTCACATGGCAGTCCGCTATTGACCCCCACTCCTCGCACTCCGCCACTCCGTTTACAAGATTACACAGGTTCGCCGTACGGCACCAGTTTTCCAAAACATGTCCAGCGTAAAATGTACACGACAATGCAAACATCTCAGGATAATAATTCTGAAGATAGTGTGACCGCCCCGAAAATTCTGATAGGAGATGTTCCAGTTTGCAAACCCTGGACACCCGCTGAGGTCATTGATGTCACTAACCACGCTCCCAGTCCCACTAAAAGTCCAGATGAGTATCTGTCATGGTTGACTAATGTTTGTTCAGTTTATAACTGTTTGGTTCATGATGTTAAACAGCTGATAATCTTAACATACAAAGCCGATTGGCCCACGTGCAGAGACGAGTTTAAATTTCCTGAGTGTACAGCCGCAGGGGACTGGCCCACGACACAGACGCGAGACATGTGGATACAAAACGTCGCTGCATTGGCTATCAGAGCATGCGCTAAAACTCACACAGATTTCTCCCAAGTGACGGCTTGTGTACAAGACCCAGCAGAAAATGTCCCAGAATGTATCCAGCGTTTCATGACAGTATGGGACAATAATGCGGGAATTAAAAGAGAGGGTAATGATTTGTTTGCCATACAGACCTTGTTACATAATTTAATCCCAGAGACAGCTCAAGCCTACATGATGTCAACTCCGGATTGGCAAATTAAATCTTGGAAAATGACTATCGCCACAATGCGTGCGTTGCATAGGAGCCAAATATTTCTTACTCCCAGAATTTCACAAATGCCTCAACAATTTCCTCAAAACACCCAGGCTTATCAAACTCAGGGACAAAACCACACCCAGCAGTATCAAAATCAGGGGAGATCACAGGATTATCATAATAAGAGCAGACAGCAGCAGAACAAAAATCCCAAAAAGTTGATGCCATGTCATGTTTGCGGAGCAACGGATCACTGGGCAGGACAGTGTGGTAAGCGGTGGGGGGTCCAGCAGCATACACAGCCCCCCCTCACCCAGCCCCCCTTTTCCCAGCCCGCACTTCCCCCTAACCTTCCCCAGCAGTCCGGACATCTGGCATTAATGCAGCCTCCACGTTATGACAGACAGAAGCAGGAGCAGAACGCTCAACAAAGTGGATTTAATAGAAGATAGTGGGGCCAAGAAGATATAGGATCAGATTCACAGCATTTCCCCATTCAAGCAGCAACAATTCGCCTTTCCAATAACCCGCGTGAAGATCCGATTATGCCCGTTGATTTTAGTGGTACGGCTGTAGATATTTTGATTGACAGCGGAGCCACCTTGTCTGCCGTGCGTACTAAGGAGAAAGTGTGTGAAGCAACCAATAAGTTTGTCACAACTATCGGTGTTGTTGGAATTTCTATGTCCGAACCCATTTCAGAGAGCACTAAAGTTTCAATTAATGGATCAAACGTGCAACACTCTTTCATTATTTCAGATGGAAGTCCTATTAAGTTAATGGGCAGGGACTTACTATGTAAATTCCAGGCAACAATACATTGCACTTCAGACGGATTGTTTTTGACAATTCCTGACAGTAAGGTCTATCAGGCAGTCCAATTCATTCAATCATCGCGAGACAACCTTTATTGTTGGTCATTTCCAGATTTCAACATGATTTCTGTTTTCTCCACAACAGGGATTCAGAAGATTGCTAGCATTTCTCCGGTTTGTGCATCTTTAATGTCTCTTATGCGACCTGTGTTGAATTGTCATTGCACAGCAGCCTTTAATCCGTCAGATGACTACGCGCAATCAGTAAGAGGTTTTTGCAACAAATCAGATCGGTTGACAAGTGAACAATATTTGTTCATTTCCCGACAAGGATGTGCATTACCCATCAAGACTCACAACACCCCAGCAGGTTCTCCATGTTGAAGAAACCCTCCCCTACATAACGGTGGCTGTTACGCCAGGCAGTAACCCAAAGGAAGTGGGGGCCATGGCAGCCCGCTGCCAGGCCCAGCTGGAAGCCTCACTTTCCCCTCTCTCACACACACACACACACACACACACACACACACACACGCACCTAACGTAATTAACTTTGGAGAGGAGCATTTCCTGCTTCGTCTCGCGGAGCCGATTGCTCTTCCCCAAAGCACCTTCCTTCCTTTACAACCAAACCCCTCCACAGAGTATGGCCCCCCCTCAGATTTTTCAGAAGTCCCGGCTACATTATGGGCAAAACACAAGAATCATGTGGGTTTTGTTGCCTCAGCGCCTCCACATCGAGTAACACTTAAAGCCAACGCCAGATTGCCAGCTATCAGACAGTACAATTTGCCCCATAGAGCCATTTTGGGGATTGAAGGAGTAATCCAATCTTTGCTTGATCAGGGCGTGTTAATTTACACAACTAGTCCCTGTAATACTCCAATTCTACCCATACCTAAACACAATCGCCCTGATGAGTGGCGCTTTGTCCAGGATTTGCAAGCTATTAATGCTAT